AATTGTAACAAATTTTTAGCATTTTATTCGATCATTTCGTGAGCATCACGTAGATCCTACAGCTATAACACGTCATGATTTCATCGAATGTAACGGTGATAATTTTTTATTAATAATACCAAAACTTACACATATCATTTATCAACATGCAACATTATCAGCTTCTGATTTAAATTCTTTGACAACATCGCATTGGTTTTACTTATTATTGGCAATCTATGTTGCGCTTACCAATCAGGTACCATAAATTTCATAAATAATCTAATGAAAGCTTATTGCTAGCATTGTTTCGTGGTAAACAAAATCAAAAATTGCTTTTCAATTTTAATATCTCATTTTAACGTGCAATTTGCAATGATTAGAAATGTCAAGATAGAATGGAAATATCCATTCAGGTTGATATTTTAATCAATTGAATGGATATCAATTGCTAAATGAAATCAGTTTGAGCTTAAGCTAGTTTAAATTTTGTAATAATTCCGAATAAAATATTCCTACTTCACAAGTTACTATTATTTTTGAAATTGGAAAAGAAAAAAAAATCGTTTTTTCATAATTTTACAGGTGAATGTTATTGATTTGCTATCATTAGTTGTTTTCAGATTCATAAATGGTCACATACATATATCGGCTTATCACCATGGGTGGAAATGCTACAGAATTGGCACGTGATACTTTCACGTAAAGGCCATAAACATCACCATATTTCACCACATGCATGTAGTTATTGCATCACAACCGGTTGGTTGAATGGACCGCTTGATGCGATCGGTTTTTGGCGTGCTGCTGAATTCATTGTTACCGGACTGACTGGAATGAAGCCTCGAACTGATGATCTGAAATGGGCAAAAGCTCCTTAAATATATTAAAAAATTAGGTAAAATTGATAAAAACAAAACAAAAAATTGATTCAATTGCAGTTAACTATTTTCGCTTATTAGTTGAAATTTTTTTTTACTTCACTGAAATTATCACAACAATAAAAAAAGCTAGCACATTTTTTTGGTAAAATCTGCCCGCTGAGGGCTTTCCTAATATGTTTATGTGTTGCATTTACATTTGAAGTAACATAACTAACTGATTTTCTTTTTCGTGAGCATCACGTCTGTCAACATAATCTTTAAAAAAAAAGTTCCTTTTTTTTTCAAAGCTGTTTAATGGAAAACTCAATTTATCACTAAAATCCGATTTGAATGTCAAATTCAAAATTCAAAAAAAAAAGATGTGCCTAATATTTTTTTTTATATGTAAAATGCATTTGCCGCTTTTTTTAAAATGACCTTTATGTGTTAAAATGACCTTTATTCAATTTTATGCCGTATTAATTAAAGTTTTCTTTGTTCCAATGATAAAGGTGAAGTACCATTGCTTATATCTGAAAAGAAAATTGAACTACCATTGTTTACATCTTAATAACTGATCACTTATTTCAGGAAATCTTTTTTGTTACTAAACGCAATGGCTACTTTTCTGTTCAGCATAAATTAATTTGAACGATGTTTGACGCTCAGACAAAAAGTGTAGTAAAGATAAATGCTTGAAGTTATCTGATAATTGATAATCTTGTCAGACATATTTCATTCTCTACCAAATGATTAATTCAGGAACACACACACAATTTTTTCTTGTACAAATACAATAAAAATTCATGCAAAATTTCATAAAAAATTTTTGCTAAAAATTAATTCATCTTTATCTATGCAAATTTTGGAAGCATTTTATTTGTCTCTAATTATTTTATATTATGAAAGAAAAATGAATTATTCATTCATTATTTAAAATTTTATTTAAAGTAATTATTTATGGTTATTGGTATTTAATTCATGAAATAATGATGCATTCAAATGAACCTCTTTCACCAGGAAATATTGAATGAGTTTATTGAAATTTCAATTTCATATTAGATTCTTTAACAAATCCTTTTTCCTTACACATTCCTAATTTTTTATTTATTTTTAATAGCCTGAATTATCAATCAGAAATTGTAAAGGAAAGAAAAAGCAAACAAATTAAAAAGAAAAGTATAAAAAACCAAAAGAAACAACAAGTACATCTTTTTTTTCAAAATTGAGAAATTCCAATTTTTCAAATACCATCAAATGATGGGAAAATTGGAATTATTGTAAATGAATGAGTAAATTAATCATTTTCAAAGCATGTTGAATTCATTCATCAATTTAGAATTAAAAATAATTTGAATGAATCCATAAATCAAAAGTAAGATAATAGAATTAAAAGTAATTAATGATTTGCACTATGGAGCAAGTATGATCAATCAATATGCTTGAGATATTAGGAATTACCGGGAAGAAATGAAATCCATAGAATTTAATATTGCATCGGACATACATATCAAGAAATGATTAGTGTGAAGCAGTTTTTCGTGAACAAGACGATAGGCATGAATTAGCGGAAATTTGATATTTCAAATAGTGGAGTGGAAGTGTTTTTTGCGATCTGCGCTGTGGAAGTAAAAATTCTTTATCCCTGAGAGTAAGAATTACAGTTGGGGACAAAGTAGCAGATTTTTAATTCTTCAATTTTATTCTCTTAATTATGAATTTAAGAAATTACAGTAATTTCAAGCTCTAATGACAGTGAAGTAAGTTGAAAGAAAATTATGAAATCAGTAGATTGATAATATCCCTAAGCTTATTTATTATCTAGCGTAATCCAAGCAAAAGCAAAATCTTTGTAAGCTTAGGTTTTAATCATTCGAATTTAATAAATCATAATTTTAAGCTTCAATGATAATAAAATAAGTACATTTGTATCATATTTATTTAAATACGACAAAATATTTTGTCTAAAAATTGGAGCTAAGCCTAGAAAACCTGAATCTAGCATTATTTGCTGCTTGCCAAGTCCTTTCTTTGATCATTGATTCCATTAAATAGCAAATATGCCATTGGGCAGTTAACTACATAAATTATTGGAAGCCGAAGAAGAACATATTGAGTTTAAAAAATTTAGCTAAGCAAAATGATATATGAATCAAATATTGTCGTTTCCGAGGAATACAATTCAATTGTTGTTTTTAGAAGGAATATAAAGAGCAAAATTGTATCGCCCCATTCATCTTTTTTAATGAATTTGCTTACAAAAGTTGCCAGTAATCAAGGAGATACTGACATTACTTTCTTATACTGTCCCAGTCCTAATATCTCATCAAATGCAGCACAGATCTTAATCTACGCAATTTGACTTAGAACACTTTGACTAAATGCGATGAAGTGGTCTATAAATGAATAACTTAGTAGAGCTTTTTATTTTTAGAAATAATTATGCTATTTGCTCAGTCATTTGAAGAAGTCTTAACTTTCAATTCAAACTAAAATTTACAATCCAAACCAATCCGAAATAGTAAGTAATGCTTAGTATGTAATAGTAATTGATCAAAATCTGATCAAAAATGATTGCAATAGGTAGAACACATCACCAATTATTATTTATGATTTGGAAGTGACGACATTTTCTCTCAAAACTTGTACCTGAAATTAGTCTCTAATAAATCTTTAAAGCAAGCATAACGATTATTGAGTCTTACTACTAAATTATTCTCGCCACTAACTTCGTAATATTTTGAGAGTGAAAACTTTAGACCGTTACAAGGTTATTTTAACGATATCAATGATTTGGATTTATCATCTAGACAATTACACTTGAACGCTTTCAAATACAAGTTTTACTTAGTTAAAATAATTTCTCGATGGCATCAGGAAGTATTGTTATATAATCTTGAATTAGAGCTATATACCTATTAAAGCATAGTAAAATTCTTGAATGCTGAGTACCAATTAGCAGTAATTCGTACCTGTCTACCTCAGTCTCCTACTTCTCATTAATCAACAATTAATTAATCAATCATTTACGAATATTGCTTTTTCTGATTTCAGTTTTATTTACTACTACTTGTTATTTATTCCATGTTCTGTACCCTCCCTTCATTCAATGTATAAACGATTGTTAACATTTGAGATATTTCTTCTTATTTACTAGTTTAACGATAAATGACCAGACATTTCTATAAAGTAAATTATAGGTTAAGATAAAATACGGTGAAAGATCAGGTAAGAATTTTTTGATCAGAATGGAATAAACAATTCTCTACCTTTATTGCACAACAACCAGCTCAAATTCATGTTGAAAAAAAAAATAATGGAAGACGGAGATCTTCTTTCTGTACATGAAAAATAACAAAATTTAAAAATAATCTTGAAACTAAGGCGGTTGTTAATTGGCAAATGTGATTGATACAATCAAAATAAACGACTTATCATTTCATCCCATAATGCTTTGACTCATCGATACGGATAATATCAAAGGGAATTCGACTAATTAATTTTCTAAACTTTTTTCTGAGTGATAATGTTCATCTAACAAGAAAAGTGTTGGTTATCTCTACAACTAATCTAAATTCAATTTTATGTGTAGAGGGAGAAAGAGAGAAAGGAAGAAAGAAAGAAAGAAAAAAATAAAAACAAGCATCGTGTTACCCGTGCAAATAAAACGACTATAATTACATAAATAATAAAAAGAATAATAATTTTGTTCTGTAACTAAGTCATAAATAAATTAGGAAAAGGAAATGAGGTATAGAGAGAGAGGAAGAGAGGGAGAGAGAGAGGAAGAGAGGGAAAGAGAGAGGAAGAAAGAAGAAGAGAGGTAAAGGGAGAGGAAGAGAGATAAAAAGAGGAAAAGATAAATTACAGAAATAAAAATTTGGGAAACAAATCTCTAGATTGAAAGTAATCTTATTGTATGGGATTTTAAAACAGAAAAAAAGAGACCAATTTTTGATTAAAATTAAGAGTGTAAAGGAAAATGTGTTGTACATGAATTATATGAAAGTAATTGATTGATAGCAAATGATAATGACAATGTCATCAATATGAAGAAATCAACAATGATCGATCTGTCTTATCATTGTTTACAGTAAAATTTGCCAATATAAAGTTACTGTTGCTAAAATGAAATGCTGCATCTTTATGGAATAGAATATAGGGGAGAGGATAAAATGATAAAACTGAGAATACAAATTAGTTTTCCAAAAACAGAGAGCGATAGAGTGGGATATAATTAAATTTCTAAAGTTGAGACTGTAAACTTGAGCATATAGATGATGTCAAGGTAGTTTATGGAAAGAAATTAAATTAATGGATACAACTATAGAAGGAGATAATTAATTTGCAATGAAATAAGATGAAAATCATCAAATATCAAGATTAAGGATTTGAAATTCAACAAATGAAGAAAAGAGAACAATAACTATTACATTAGGAGATAGATATTTTGGTACCAAAGAATTTGGAGAGAACTAAGAGAAATAGAGTTGAATAATAATGAATAAGAATAAATTAACAGGAACCGTACATACAGTAATACCTTAATGATTTTTAGATGTTCAATTAAGTTTCGAATAGTGAGGTTCCAATAGCCCGTGTAGAATATCAAATGATAATGACACTAACATTTGGTAACTTATGATGAAAGTAAAAGTTTTCATTTGAAAAATAATTATTCTCATTCGGATGACAGATTAAACAGAATTTGATTACATCAGTACTGTATACGACCACCATTTTTATCACAATTGGTTGATGTTGTCTTTTATTAAAGTTTTAAACTTTTTTAGAAGAGTCTTCCCTTTTCGTCTAGAGCTCTTAAAATCAATATTAAATTTTGTGAACAATTATTACTTTTCCTCCGAAGACATCAAGGTTAGTGACGCCTTGACATCAATCAAACATGATAAAAGTGATAGTCGAGCACTGCAATGAACTTCTTAAATCTGTCAATCATCAAGATGAAGTAGTTATCAAACATTAGAATGCACTTTCATCAACAGTTATCAAATTTAAACTGAAGTATTTTTCTAACAAAAGATGCCAGCAAACAATTATAAAAAATTGAGATCGGAGTTATCAACTGTATTAAAAGATGATCCTTCCGTTTGGTTGACGAAAGAGTAATGAAATATGGTAAAGATGAAATATAATTATTATACAAAAGGGACATTTATGAAAATTTCCCAGAGATCGTCAAATTTCGAAAAAAGGATGGAACTCCATAATAAAAGCTCGCATCATTCTGAAAAACATTAAATAAGAAAGACTTTTAACAGGGATGAGGTGCCAATTGTCAATATACATATTTTCAATATTTTTAAAAATTTTTTGATATTTTCAGTGGATGAACATTGGTGTCTGTTTGCCTACAAATGAGATTTTTTAACCGTAACTGGCAAAATTTCAGCAAAACAGAAGACGATTAAGTACCTATAATATATCGAAATCTCTACTAATAATGAATTCATTTTCGAAACCTCTCGGACTCTTCCATACAAACAACACATTTCCACGCTTTTAACCTTGAAAGATTATGAGATTGCTTATCTAAAGACATAGCAATCGAGACCACCAAAAAAGTTTGCAAACGCTGAGAAGAGCAAGGAAACGCGGATTAAAAGAATACGACATTAATTAAACGAGTAATTGAAAAAAAAACAATTTTGAACAGAATAACAGAAAGTGGTCCTTCAACAATATCGTGTACGTTTTGGCAATAAATCGTTCTCTATGGTTTGCTGATTCTCATCATTGGTTCTATCATTGTTTCTTGATTTCTCAATAAAGACTTCTTCTTGCGGAACGCTGATGTCTTCTTTCTCATTCTGGAAAGAAATAACAATTTTAGCAAGCATATGTACTAAAATTAATTTGTTTCATAAGATATTTATATTGGATTCATTCAAAAGCTTGGTTAAAACTTCATATACATAAATTTTAAACAACGTAACAAAAAGTGGAAACAAAATGAATCCAGAATAAGTGTCGCAAAGGGATTTCTAAAAATCAATTTGTTTGCTGCAAGGAAAAATTATTTATGTATTACAGCGCTTAGACTTGAACATCATAACGCGAGAACAACCATATCTAAATGATACAGATTTATAAAATCTACAAAATTTTCGACTGTCCATTAACTAAGCTAAAAGTGAGAAATTATAAGATACGTGTATTGCAATCATGAAGCTGTTATCAATTTTCTCTTAAATTGACCAAATTTTTTCCAAGCAAGCTATAAATTCAGCTCATAATAAAATTCGAGAGTCTCGAAAAGTTATGAAATCTTCATTTCAGGCCGATAAATGTCAATAAAATATCAAAAAAAAATTTGATATCAATAAAAAGGAACTGACTGTGTAATTTTAATGAATGAAGAATAAAATGCAAAAGAACGAACTGGGATTGGAACTTCAGTGAGTGTAGCATCAGCAACTTCAAAATATGCTCGAAGTTTGCTAGGCGATGTTCGCTGCACCTTATTGGAAGAACTGAAAAGAAAATTAGCATAGGAGTTGTCATAAACGAATAAATATTTCTCACTGAAATTCATACAAGAATAATGGAATTGTTTGCTTTTACCCAATTTTTCTGGCAAGAGCTGCCCGTGCAGCTGCATCTTTGAGAATTGCATCAGCTTCGCTAACAGGACCATCGTTACCACTGGCAGCCTCATCCTCTTCTGTTGGTTCACCCATTGTTTCCAAAGCAGGTATATGTATGCCATCTGGACCATCATGCGCAATCCCACGTTTACGCAACTGTAAAAAAGTTTCTCTACAACTAATACTTTTTTCGATGATTAGAGACAATTTTTTGAATATTCAAATATAAAAAAAAACTTTGCACTTCCAAATATTTAAAATATTTAAAAAAAGAAAGAGAATCAACTTACATCCTGAACGAAGCCTTTCAGCTCGCATGCCTCTACATCGCCCAAAAAACCACCTTCTAACCTTTGCATATTTTCTTTGTCTGACACATCGAAAAGAAACTTTTTATTGAGTAACCTAAAGACAGTTTATAATCACAAATAAAATGTGAAATTATTATTAAAACTATATTAATTTCTCTAGGATAAAAACAAATTGCAGAGATGGAAAAATTTTCAAAGTTTCCAAAGCCGTGAATTATAAGCGCAAAAAGTCAAACAGTTTCTAAAATAACTTCAAAAATTATATCCACGTAACTAATGCAATATCAGTCTAAACAAGTGAGATCTTGTTTAGGCTGATATCATAAAGTTCAAAAACACTATCAGTTTTCAATAAAACTAAGATCGAATTCAAAAATGACAAAAAAGAAAAAATTTGAAACATATACCAATATGTGAAAGTCAAAACTGACAATCAAACTGACAAAATTTGACAATTAACCCGAAAGTTGCTCACCGTTTTCGAATTGTTTCACCTCGCGCTCTTGTGATAAATTTCCGATATGCTACCATACACATGTATTCGATGATGGATCCAATAGTTTGTGGACTTCTTTCATTCATTTCGTATGCATCAAAAGAACAATCCTGATAGTATCATTAATATCAGTTATAGCTAAGACATTCATCCTTTCAACAAAACATTTCAATCATTCTAATATCACTGGTAAAATCTCTCATTCCATCTGTAAAAAATGAAAATTTTTTGATTCATCCTACATCATTCACTTCCTCACCTAATCAATAATAGAGGGATCTACAAGCAAAAGTAAAAAAAAAAATGAATTGAGATTAAATGGAGACGACCTATAAATGGAATAAAAAAGCTCCAGAGATCTGTAGAGAGAGGGAGAGAGAGAAAGGGAACACTTTGTTCAACACTTTTGCAACATACAAAATAAATAGCTGAATTAGAGAAGTGGAGGAAATGGTTCAACGTGTATATACAACAACCTACGACACCTAATAATAATACTTTTGCAAATACCGATTTCTTTCGTATTGATATAAACTAAATAAAATCCGTGACTTATCAAATTTATGCGAAAAAAAAAGAATCAAAAATTGAGAAGTCACAATATTTCTCGCAATTTGTTGAAAACAAAAAAACAATACTTCTCGATATCAATTCTAAATTACTAGCTAATATTTCTTGAACCAGAATTACTACTGTTGTTGGAATATCAAAGATGTATATTTTGAATGTTCTGTTTCATGCTATCTTAATAATACTGAATATGTTAAATCATCTTCATAATATACTGAATATGTTAAATACATTAGCTTTTCACATGCAACATTGACAATTTTCATTTTTTACCACTCATTTAAATATCGATACAGATCATATTAATAATGCATAAATATTTTCAATGGTATTAATACCCATTCATTTAGGGGATAGAAATTATGGATAATGGAATAAAGATTTCAATTTATTTCAAATTAAAAGAAATATAATGATAAATGACATGTCATGTTCAGACAACATAAAAACATTAATGAAATCCGATAATTCATATCTCAACAATTCTAACCAATCAATAAAAAACTAATTCATGAAACAATGCAAAAACAAACAAAAATAAAAATTTTGCAAAAATCTCGTAAATTAAATTACAAACAGTTTGAAAATTGCATTGAGAGTGCAGCTATAACCCTTAAAACTAAGCTTACAAATTCACTATATTATGAGACCGACAAAACATTGGTATTATCGATCCACGGCGAGGCATATTTCTGGAAGTTTAAAGGAAGCAGTAAAAATACTGGTATAATCTAATAATCATTTCGCAACTCTTGAAAAAAAAAACATAGATTATAGATAGATTACTGGAAGATTTCTATCAGTTGATCATAAGTCTGATTCAGTGGAAAAAAGTTCATCTGTGAAGAGAATCAGCTCAAGTTCAATTCATACCGGAAGATATAACTTCACAAAATGATCGGTAAAACCTAAAAAACCCAAAACTGTTGCTTCGCAAATGCCATCATCTGCAGCAACATGAATTTTTTTAAAAAAAATTTAGAGATAGACAGTGTCTGCAAACTGTACCTATTTCGATAAATACATTGTTATAATGCAGACGCAGACTGTGGATCATATGACCTTCTCATAAATATTTGATAGCCTTGCTGGCATAATGCCGAAAAATTATCCTGTGATAAAGCAAAAATATTACCATTCATTGAAAGTTTGATAACAGATCTGTGAGGAAAAAGATATTAATCAGAATCTTCTTTTTCTAGCAAGATTTCGATTCCCTTGTTTGTATTACAGCATAGACGATAAATACTCAAGTTTGTTTTTTTTTTTTTTTTAGAATATGGATTCTTTCCGACTCAGTAATTCAATATATCTGCATTTCTAATTTCAAAATCTCAGTAAAAAAAAATAAAATAGAACATATAAAATTAGAATACAACAGAAAAGATCGTACATACCACCCACATAAAACGCTGTCAAAACGAAAAAGCGAGATCATACAACTTGTCAGTTTACTTTTACATTGCTTTCTCATATAATAAAGAGTACACTATTTTAAATCGGTTCATATTACACGAAAAGAATATTACATAATAATAGGTACCTAACAAGAGAAAGGTATATTGTAAACAGTTAGAGATCGGATAACAAACTATGAAGTAAAAAAATACAAAGCTACCTAAAAAACGGCTTATTTTTTGCAAATGATATTGATCCAGTACATTACAACTGTTTCATTTCAGTTTCTATAAATACAGTTCAGATGAAAGAATCTGAAATCTTTTGACACTTCAATACTGCACTTCTTCGATTATCTCCAAATATAAACCTCAACAATACCATCAAACCAGCTAGTGCAATCGATGACTGAGAAGAAAATCACTGGCTAGAAGATTCATATCGACAATTATTAACTCTGATTCGATGACAGCTTCTCAACGACAGCATTTAGACGACCTCTGCTGGACGCTCTCTTTGCCACTGTGGTTGTGGTAGTAGTCGTAGCAGCTGTAACAGTATCAACAGCAGTAGTAGTGGTAGCGAGAGTGGAAACGGTAGTAGTAACACTAATAGTGGTAATAGTAGTAGCAGCAGCAGTAGTAGTAGTAGTAGTAGTGGTGGTGGTGGTGGCAGCAGTAGTAGTAGTAGTAGTAGAACCAGCAGTGGTTGCAGCAGCAATATTAACAGTAGCAGTAGTAGTAGTTGGCGGTTTTGTAACAGATGAAACATTTAAACTGGAAATCGGCAGCGTACTACTGCTTGTTGCAATAGAAGAAAACGGCTGACTGAGCAGTAATGATGGATCCAATGTCAGCAGGGATTGCATCTGTTGCAAATGCAATGATGGATTCATTAGTGATGCAAGCATCGGATTCAATACGTCCTTCGATGAACCCTGAAACTTGAATTATTCACGACAGCTCGATTAACAAACAGTCGAATTTTACAAGAATTCTATTGAGTACTGGTACTTTATGCAAAAAAAGGGACATTCAAGAAAGTGAATAACGTAACTTTTCTGAAAAAAATTTAGCATTTTTTTCAAATTCAATTTTCGCCATCTCCCATTCTTAAAAAATTTGTCTTCAACCTTTCAGAAAAAAATATATCACCGCACATAAATCTCCTAAACATTTCAATTACTGATAATTAACTCATAACACTTATTAATCCATAAGTTCAAAGGTATTAATGAAGAGACGAAACAATTTCACCACTTTTAATGGAGCATTCTATAAATTGACACTAACCTTGCTCGGCTGAGTAGAACCAGATGCTGCAGCTGCAAGCATTGCATATGATCCAAGTTGTCCGTAAGCCCCAAGTCCAAGAAGTGTTTGATTCATTAACGACTGCTGAAGCATCATTTGCATTTGTAAAGTTTCCAAACCATTTGAAGATGAGGACATAGATGTCGTATCATCACCCAAACGATCAGTGTAATTTTTTGGTAGAACAGTCTGAAAAAAATCTTACTTATATTCCACTGAAACGATTTTTTTACTGCTTAACAGTACAAACGACTGACGAAGTTCTAACAAAAGTCATATCACAAAAAACAAATGATAATTCGCAGATCAAATAAAACAATATCACAAGCCTGCCTAACGTTATATTATATAAATATGATCAAAAATAAATAACATACGGCAGCAAGTGATGCACTGCTTGAATGTACATTGCAATCCGGATGTTTATCAAGCCACGAAGTAAGATTCTTCAGCAGTGGCCATTTATCGGCAGAAACTAATGTACCACTAGCACGTTGGAAAACAGCGACCCGCTGATCAGCAATTCCAAGTGAAGCAGCAGAAGCTGATGATGAAGCAGCAGTGGTACTGGGAGAGCGGGGAACTTCACCAGGTTCCAAGGTTAATGCTGTTGCTATCGCTTTCGATGAACTTGAATTTGTTTGAATCGTAAGCATTTCCTGAACAGAATTATAAAGTCCTGCATAATAAAAACTATTTTTGATGAAATCAACATTTATCCATATAAACGCATGAAATTCTTCACTTCCGAAAAAATTTGATTATCATTTGAGCAATGAGAAATCTTTAAAATCACGAAATTTTTTTTAATTTTTTTTAAGAAAGTATGAATCATTATGAAAAAAAACCTTAGAATGGGTTTCTTTACTGATTTCCTTCTTTGAAGTAATTTTGTCTGACGATGCTGATACACACTTCACATCATTTTTTTCGGCTGGTTTTGAGGATGTTACCTGAGATACCGGGGGAACTACTGAAGACGCTGACGATGGAATATCGAGCACATATTTGGGATGTGCTGACAGCCACTGTCCAAGATTTTTCACTTTTGGCGCTTGTTCACCAATCAAACGTGCACCCGTTTCAATATTAATCACTGGTACGCGGGTCTCTAGAAGGAACGTATAGTCAAGCTTTCCTTTATGCTTGAATGTTGCAATGAAGTTTTTATTTCTCGCCTTTTGTACAGAAAGAAACTTATCTTCAAATACTAAATCACATGCAGTTACTAAACCGTAAAAAATTTAAAGATTGAATTTATAGTCCAAAAAAGAAATTCACAATGCAGATTGACTTGTCAATCTTCATTGCGAGTTTAAGATCAAAAATATAAAGCACACCTGGTGGAAGGTTTGCCAATGCAAACAATTCAGTGAAATTCAAACTGTTCAAAAAATTTGTGGGCGGGGCAGAGATTCCAGAAGTAGATTGTTGACTTGTACTACTATTGTTACTTGGTGGTTTCTTCGTACTCAAATTTAGTACATCCTCTGCATATTCATTTGTTTTACTGGCATTCGTGGAAGCAGATGTTGCTGGAGGTGACGCAGAGGATAGTCCAAACAAGCTGGAAAGCATTGCTGCCTGCGATTGAGCTGATGTTGATGCTCCTGTTGTAGATGTTCCACCACCCGATAAAAGCGATGGAAGAAGAAAAGCGCCTTGTGCCATAGCTGCTGCAGCAGCAAATGGCAGTTGTTCCAGCTAAAAAAGTTTGAATTTAGCAAAAATTAACACTTAAAATTTTTTAAGAAGCAATTTGAGATAAATCTTTTGAGAAATACCGTACCCTTTGCAAGAATGTCTGATGTACTAAAGCGCGCATTTTCTCTTTCTCCATATCAACAAATTCTTGCATTGCGGCACCCGGAATAACACTTTTCTTGCGACCCCGTTTTGAGCGCAATAACATCAGTGTTTCTCGTTCATCATCTGAAATTAGTAGCAAAAAATCTAACTTTAAAAGTGATCTTCAAATAAATTGCAAATCTCTCACAATTTTCAAATAAAAATGGAAATCTCGAACTTCGGAAACAAACATTCCACATACCAGAATCTTCAAGCAGTTCAGTGGAAGCAGCTCCATTCCATTTCTTCGTTTGAAGAGTAGTATAAATCTCTGCGACACGTCTCAGCAAAGTTCGTTCTTCTGGTCTTACTATCTAAAAAAGTAATGAATTTTATTAAAATTAGAAATAATGCAAAATTCCCATTATTAAAAATGAAATGGAAGCAAAAAAAACCAAAAGTATTAAAACCTTTTGAAAAGCCGTCCTATTAAGGATATTAGCAGCTATGTTGTCCAGACCATGTTCGTCTACCACTTTGAACAACTCTTCATCTTGTTCAACCGACCAACCACTTGGCATCGCCTCATTAGAACAAAGCTTGAGAAGTGTTCGTCGATCAGTTAGTGATTCTCGCCAATCGTGAATCTGTCGCATCATATTCATCCGGTGCATTAGTTTCTGTGCCTTTCGTGCCGAAATCGCTTCCACCTGGAATCGTTCTCACAAAATTAAAACAAGCATAAACCAACTATCAGAACAAACGCTGTTTGATGACTTTTATTAAACTAAAAATTAAACTCCAAAAGTTGTACCTTCTATAATTCAAAAAAGCAGCATGCAATTTTTAGGAAAAAAAATTCAAGAACGGATATCGCGGAGTGAAATAAAACTATTGCGAACAAATACAGAAATATCTAAAAAAATAAAACTGAAACCTTTAGGGCTCGTTGTAAATCAACGGCAGTTATTTCATTGCCGAGCTGTTTTGTGCACATTGACAATACGCAATATAGCTGCTCCATTAAATCACTATCAGTTTTCTTTTCTAGAAGTGGAGAAAGCTGTCTGAAACGTGTCCAGAAAATAATTGTTGATGGATCATCCTTAACTCCATAACTTCTCAGTACACGCATGAATTCCGCTTCTTCACGTTTAGTCCACCTAAATTTTCAAAGCAATTACAATGAGAAATTTAGGATAAGACGAAATTTTTCTATAAAACCTCTGATAATCATAAAATATGAGCAGCTTTTTTTCAAGCCTAAAAAAGAATTGATCCAACTAATTTACGTCGAAAATGTCAATGAGTCATGCCGCTTTCTCTGGAAATGTGTTAGAAGACGCCGGAAACGATTCAACAGATCCGAGATGTTCGGGAAAACCTCAATTTTTTTCAAACCAAAACAGAGCGCTGGATCAATACGCATCGCATCGATATTCTCCAGACCTGGAATTTTTTCTCTCTAAAAAAAATTAAAAAATGAATAGAACACTTCATGAAAGTTTTACACTGAGTTTAGAGTCAAAAAGTTACTGGCCCAAAGTAAATATCTCTATTAGTGCAGCAAAATTAGCATACTGATAAAACTGAGTAACCAAATTATTTCTTCTGTGAAAGAATATGAAATAGCTGTTTTATATAAACTATTGAATATAAATCTATTTTTTAAATGACAAATTAACTAGTATACACCCATTGTTAAATCAATAATGGAATAAAAAGTAAGTGAAAAATAAACTTAATAAATTGCAGTGCCGTCGATTAGAGCAGTGCGCCTACTAGTAAGATAACAGTACCACTGAATCTACTTCAATTATTTGCTAATTAGTGATAACAATTAAAAAAGCAACACGACATTAAGGAGAGGGAATTCCTAAGTCTACCATGTTTATGCGCTCCAATCAGGAAACTCTTATCACACTCAGCATCCCAACCAGCTACGAAAGCATCATTCATATCAACCGATAAATCGATGTCCTTTGCTTTTGCATTATTCATTACTGCTTCACTCTTACTACCAATTATCTAAAAATTGAATTTTTAGATAATTTTTGAACATAAGAGAATTAAATTATAAACATATTAACTTTGAAAAAAAATGTAAACAAAATGAAAACAGTTAATACTAATAACTTTTGATACGAAAATTAACTAAGAATTCCTAATCCTTCAGCTTTATACACATTTCGATATACAGGCGATGCAAAATGTCATGTAAAACACAAAAACCTTCTAATTAGATTGACAGTGGCAGCTTTGAAATCATGATAGCTGATACTACTGAATTTTAATGGTTGAAAGAATAGCAAATAATTTGATACTCTGTAAAGCATATTTTAGATGTTGAAAGCTTAATACAATACCTCAGTATTTAATATGTGAAGTTGATGCATCCGAATCAACAATTTGTTTGAATGTCGATGAACGTGGCGTTGGAAAGATGAGTCAACAGCAAAAGCTGGCGGATTGTATTCTGGTAATGCTGCCCAACCCTCATGGAACACCGACGTCAAACCAGTGTTTTTCATTTTCTCCGTATTCTTGCCAGTAACTAAACCGCCTTTTGGGATTATCAATCGCCAAACAAATTCACGGATTTTTTCATCTCCACGGTATTCACGAATACAATGTAACAGCAGTGTCCTATAAATTAAAATGAATAAAAATCTTTAAAAAAAGTTAAAATTATCACACAAATGCCTTGATTATAAACATTTCGATATCGATATCGAATAACTATTAAGACCTTCTTTAAGCTAATGTATAGAACCACTCAATAAAAGATCACAATATTTCAAAAGATATAGTAATGAATCATAGCGAAAAGACGAATGGAGAGCCAATAATATGAAAAATAACATAAAAATATTCATCGGCAATGAACCTCCAAAAACTAAATCAAATTTTACATACATGAATCAATAAGCTCAAAAACTAAAAGTCATGAAACGATTCATATTTGAATAGATACCTGATTCCTTCTTCTGTAGATAAGAAAACAAACCTTGAAATATGCTCAATATCAATTTCAGTAACGCTGTCCTTTAAATCCGACGCCTCGCGCATCACTTTCCAACGACCCCAACCAAACTGACCGAGTACCTTTTCAATCTAGACATGAAGTATAATTTTACAACAAAAATAAAAAATTACGAGAGCAAAGTAACGGAAATCCGACGATTTTATTTAAAAAAAATAACATGAAAGATTTTAGATATATTTTTTTTGATTTTAGATTTAGAAGATTTTAGAACAACTTAAATAAAGCAAAAACAATGAAAATTGAAAGGCTCTAAATACAAGCTGACCTTGAAATATTCACTTTTATTGAAAGCTAGCTCATCTGGTCGATATTCTTCATCTTCACGACGTTTCTTACGATCACCTTTCCGGTCACCTCGCTTTCGAGCTTTACTGCTATCATCGCTTTCTTCACCTTCCGTATCATCACCACCCTCCGATTTGTAAACATTTTCTTCAAATCTAAAATTTAAATAACTCGTTATATCCACAGTCGTAACCTTGACTCTACAATTTGGATGCTGTTGATTCTGTTGTGGAAAAAGATGAAAATTCCTCCCTTTTTTATTAATATTGAAATAACAAGGAAGAAAAAAAGCAAAACGAAAACGAAACCTCTTTTTCCGATTTCTAGGTTCAAGAACAATTAACTGTTTATCTGTTTGGCTCATTTCTGTATCAATATTTGCCTTTTTAGCCCACTTAGACCAGAAATTTGGATCATCGATATCAATATCTTCTCTGTTTGTGGATGAATTAAAGGATGCCTTTGCAAAAGTCGATCCTTTCACACCGGCCTAAATAAAAATTTAAAACCTATTTTACTAAATTGTCATTTTTAAAAAAACTACTAGAAAATTAAAAAATTACCAGACTTGACAAACTATCAGATAATCAAACATATGGAAATGAAAATAATCCGTAAATACGACACGAATGAAGAAACCGATACTTACTTCAAGTGTTATCGTGGTTGTGCGGCGAAGAAGAATTGTTTCGATGTCTTCTTCATTAAATTTGCTCTCCTCCGCATTTTCTTCCATAATCGCACCATAGGCTCCCTTTTTCAGCAATTCTTCAATTTCTTTCCGTGATAATTGCTGCTAAAAATGACAAAAGAGGTCAAGTAGGGAGGCATTTTCTTTATGAATGAAAGGATAATGGAAATTCATCTTGCAGTCTCTTAAATAATTTCTTGAAACAAGAAAGCTTACTGAAGTATCCTTTAAAGCAGTAGTGGATTGCAGAACGGCTCTATCTAAGCCTAACTTCAATGATGCTTTATCGAACATTTCACGTTCGTATGTGTTACAGGTAATTAGACGATAAACTTTCACCATTTTTGTTTGACCAATTCGATGACAGCGAGCTTGTGCCTGTAAAAAATGATTATATTGATACCTACTCATACAATTCTAAAAATAACAAAAATTTTTCGGAATTCCTGAAATTAAAATGAAAGAAGTCAATAAGCAATTCAAAAAAGATTCAAAAAAAAGATGCATCGAGTTTGATTCGTCATATATAACCAGCAAAATGTGCAAACAAAAATTAATTATAATCAAAATAGTTTTTCAATACCTGTAAATCGTTCTGCGGATTCCAGTCAGAATCAAAAATAATGACAGTATCAGCTGCCGTTAAGTTGATTCCAAGACCACCAGCGCGAGTACAGAGCAGGAAGATGAAACGGTCAGAATCTATAATTTGCCATAAAAACGAACGTATTTTAAGGTGAAGAGTAAATACCACAGAATAGTATATCCACCATTCATTTTTTTGTAAGAAATACTTTTATACGTTTAAAAAAATACAGATGAAATTTAAGAAATACCTTTTTTACTGAAACGATCGATAGCGCTTTGTCTCAAATCACCGCGAACATTGCCATCGATTCGCTCAAATGTATAACTATAATAAGTTAAGCTAAGGATTATAAAAATTAAGCAGGATTTGTTCTTTACTGAATTCATATTCTTTGGTTAGTTGAAAATATTAAGGATTACCATATGAAATATTTCAATTAGCACAGTACTATAGATTAATATATATCATGAAATATGATATAACTAACTTCTGTGCAACAAGAAATTCTTCGATAATGTCCAAAACACGGACCATCTGAGAAAAAATCAATACTTTATGACCATCTGTATGCAATTTTGGTAACAGCTTCGCAATTAGAACCAATTTACCAGATGATTGCACCAACGCATGCTGATAAATATCATCTTCATTCCAATCTGGATGTCCCGCTTTCACTTCAGCAAGAATCTGTTCTTCAGCACCTAAACTCAAAACGAACAGATAAATAAATTTCAAAACGACTGTTCTGGCAAACCTCAGAAGGGAGCTTTTAACTTGAATTTTAGAAAATACCGTTGAAAATGTTTGTGAAAACTCGATACATTAAATCCTTTTTGTTTTTTTGAAAACAAACCATTTATAAGAAATGGATGATTACAGCATTTTCGCAATTCCATCATTGCATTCATCAGTGAGGGTACGGATGTTCCCTTGCAGAGGTGCGAGAAATTTCTTTCTAGTATTGCCCTATAGTATTTCTTTTGAGTATTCGATAATTGTATCTGCAAAGATATATTATTACTGAATAATAGATCCATAAAAATAACACACCAAGTTTCTCAATAATGAAAACATTTGTTTCGATAATTTTTCTAAACCCAAATATTTATTAAATACATTAAAAATAACCTCAATAATTGTCTCCTCTTTTGGTTGTAACGTTTTTTCCACATCTTCTTTGAGACGACGCAACATCATCGGTTTGAGAATATCTTGTAATCGTTGTACCTGATCCTCAGTTTGACATTGGCCAAACTGCTCAAGAAAAGCAGATGAACTATGAAATTGTTCTGGTTCAAGAAAATTCAGAAGTGAATATAGTTCTTCAATATTGTTTTGCAACGGTGTTCCTGTTAAGAGTACACGATGTTCTGCGGTTAATGAAAGCAATCCACTGGTAAGTAATTTGCAATTTCGATTTTTTAATCGATGTGCTTCATCAATAATGCATACTTGATAGCTAATCTGCTTGAGGACATCACAGTCACTAACAACCATTTCGAAGGTGGTAATTAAAGCATCAAATTTGACAACATTACGTTTACCCCCCTTCAGATCTTCCGGCCGATAATAAAATTCAGTTTGTTGAATAATTTGACGACTGGATGCACTCCCATGATAAACAATGGTATTCATATCGGTCCATGTTTCGAATTCACGTTGCCAATTATGAATTGTAGACAACGGGACAACAATCAAAAATGGTCCATGAATTCCGTAATCATAAACTCGTTGCAGAAAACATATTGTTTGCACTGTTTTTCCTAAGCCCATTTCATCGGCCAAAATGCAGTTTTGTTTATTATAGTAACAGTATAAAAGCCAATTTACACCTTCAAATTGATATTCTCGAAGTCGGTTATTATCTTTGAAGGTTATATCTTCAGGAATTTTAGACCAATCTGAGGCTGATGGATGTGGCTTCGGTTTCAATTTCAAGGGATCATAAGTATTTCGTCGTTTATATGCTTCAATTTTATCGTCCGGAATAATTTCTATTTTCTCCCATGTAACTTCTTCATATGGTAAAGATTTCCATTTAATGAGAACAAAGTCGTTTCCCTCCAATTCGTTGGCATCCAATACTCGTTCAACAATTACAAAATCACTGTTGAACTGCTCATCCTCGTCTTGATCGGAACTATGAGCTCGCTTTTGATGGAAGCGTTTTAGCTTTGCTGCAGCCCGACGATCTCCAGCTTCCAGATCACATTGAGACTTCCACTGACAGTGAATATAGGCCTTGTTTTTGTATTTAACGAAATATAAATCTGGTCCATCCTCGTTTTTCTTCATACTCATAATTTTTTCGATAATAAATTCACTTTGTTCTTCCGGTTTTTTTTCTTTTCGACTTTGAACATCTTCACCGATTTCTTCATCCATTTCATCCCATTTTGCTTGTAAATCATAGCTTTTTTTCTCAACATTTATCGAACGACCAGACCGCCGCTTTTCTACGTACTCGAAAGAAGTATCATCACGTTCTGCAGCCACGAGCCGCCTTGTACGTGGTCGTTTCCGTGTTCTACGGTTAGAATCAGGGATAAATTCTTCGTCATCTACTTCTACTCCGATTTCTCCTTCTTCCTCAATTTTCCGCTTTTTACCCGGTCCTCGTTTTGGATGTCGCCCTCTTCTTCGTTTCGGCTTTTCTGAAGATGCCGCCTTATCAGTTTCATTTATTTCCTGTTTCTCCTCTTCTTCGGCACTTTCCTGAGAGATTGTTGTTGCTTTGGTGGAGATTTCCATGAGTTCTTCATCCTGACTGACCTTAGCTCGTTTCTTTGAATGTCCGTCTTTTCTAAGCTTGACTTCAGCTTTCTCGCCTTGACCTTTACAGCTTTTCCATTTATTTAATTCACGACTTTTATCTACTTCCGCATCTGATACACTTTCCTGTTTCTCACTAACTTCTGATTCGTTCTCCTTCTTTGACTTCTCATCTGCCTCTTCTATTCCGTTTGAGAAATCTTCAGTATTTTCTTTCTTGATTTCAACCTTTTCAACGTCTGACTCTTTCTCAGGATCTAGTTCTTTGTTGATCGAATCCTGAACATTAACTTCCATTCTTGAATTTTTCGATCTCTCACCGGTTTTTAAAGTGTTTTTTACAATTTTTTTCAAATTTGTAGCTGGTTTTATGTGCGTCTTAGATCCTTCTGTATCAGACAATTTATCAGCTGATAGACATGTCTTTTTTTCTGATGACTGTGCAGTATTAGTTATTTGCTGCTGTGAATCCACTACTTTTCTCTGTCGCATTTCCATTGCAAAATGATTAGTAGTCGAATCATCACTATTTTCTCCTGCTTTCTTTGTCACAATTTCTGACAAGGTATCTTGTTCGCTATCTCTGTTAGGAACTAAAATTTCGCAAGCGGGAGGAACAATAATGTTAGTGGTAGATAATACATCAGTAATTTCTGATTCTTGTTCTAATTTAGCTCGAGTATCACCTGGTTGCTGCTGTTGTGATTCAGGTATTTCCTCATATTTGGGCTGATCTTGGCACTTCAATGTTGCTGATGCTCCATTAGGTTCTACAACATGCTGGAATAAACTCTGTTGCTGCTGTTGCACATTATAAGCTGAAAATGTTGTATTCCCACCTGAAACCATAGGTGCTTGTGGTTCCATAAACGACATTGAATTATTTAACGTATTCGATGTACGACTTGAAGCAACACTGATAACATTGGGCGCAGATGGATCCTCAACTGGAGTACGAGAACGCGATGGAATCGGTTCTGGCGGAACACAGTCTTTTACAATGACATTTTCTGTTGGTGGTACACTTGTTGCTGGAGCTGAATTAGGCGGATATTGGTGATAGACGCTAATCAGAGTATGACCTGGCATATCCGGTTTTATATTGACCTAAAACAAAAGAAAACTTCAACCTTTATCTTAACTTATGCTTCAACTTTTAGCAATTTAAACTCATCTGCCTGGCAAAAAGCATATCTCATAAATATCAAACAAGATAACAACAAACTTATTCTCCACGATAATTTGTTTCCACTTACAATATAATGTTCTTAATTTCTAAGCATCTTTAACCATTATACAAAAGTAAACTTTGCAAAAATTCACTTCTTGCTAATATTATGACAATAATACCTGTACTTCGGAGCCTCTCTGCATCACGGATACAGGCTGTTCGTTTCGTTGTGCACCACCATGACATTCGTTCATGTAGCATTGCTGTAAATATTGTAAACGAAGTTGTAACTGTTCAATCTGTTGTGCTATTTGCATATTTCTATTTGGAATTTCATACATCGATTGTAGCTGTTGTTGAACCTGAAAAAAAAAAGAATACTTTTTGTCTTTTGTGTCTTGAAAAAATATTAAAGTTTTATTCGATGCTATGTGAAATATCATTATTCCACATCTCATTTTTTTTTACCAATGATTTATTCCTCTATTAAGTTACGTAAGCTTCACCAAAATTTTTCGTGCCTAAGAGACGTATATAGATCAGTATAATGAAATTATCAATTCAGTATGTCAAATCCTATTTTCTGATGAAGTGAAAATCATCATTACTAATGGAATCTAGTTTACAGATTATTACTTAATAATAATATGCTTGCAGACTATAGTTTCAATCTGAGTGCCAGAAGATTTTTCCTTACGTTTCTTGTTAAGTATGCCTAATTTCAAGTAGAAAGAAGCTGCCTAAAACAAAGAAGTATAACCTGCTGTATTTCAATCTGAATACTGGTAGACGGTGAATACTGTGGTTGTGAAGCATAGCGCTGTTGCGAATTAGTGCTATGTTGTTGCCAATCACCAGTTCCAGAAGGTACTTGCTGATGCATTGTCATGGCATGTGAGTGCGATGATTGTTGCATCATATGATTTGGAGATGGATAGAAATTCTGGCCTTGTTCCGAATAATACTGCTGTGAATGGCCAAGTTGTGGACCCATAGATGGTGGATAACGTGGCACTTGTTCATACATTTGATGTGGTTGATAATACATCGGATTTCGAGCATCTTGTTGTATTTGTTGTTGTTGCGAATAAAAGGTCTGTTGAGGCATCACCTGATTCATGGGTGGACGTTGTTGCGCTGAATACATCTGATGTTGCGGTGGATAACTATTCGGAACGCGAAATTGCCGCTGTTGAAACCATTGCTGCTGCTGCTGATGATGATGATGATATGGATCATGAACGTTTGGTGGTAGACCTGGATGACGTATTGGTGGCATATCATTCGATACATGATGCTTTCCAGACATCATCTGTTGTTGTACTTGTGGTCCTGGTCCTGCAGATCGCATGTGGGACATTAAGGGATTTTGAGACATTGCTGCCATACTCTGCATTGGTGTCATATTATTCATGTACTGTTGCCTAGGCGGTATTGATGAAGGTGGAAGCATTGCTTGACCAGTTAAAGCTTGCTGCTCAACATTAGCTGTTGCGTTCTTGCGACGTCTCTGAACTTTCGGCTTCTGCACAGTTGGTTGTGGTACTTGAGTAGGCTGTATCACCTGAAAATATATCATGCTCAAATTAAACTATGATACACTGAATGCTTAAGATAATGCACTGAACAAAAAATTACGCACTTTATTCACAAACTTCACGCACCATAATACACGCACGTAAGAAAGCATATAAAGTCAATAAATTTTATGAATAAATAAATAACCTGTTGCTGTTGCATACTTTGAGGAGCCATTTGACCAGGTAACTGGCACGGATGATGCATTGTTGCGGCCTCATTACCGTACTGAAGATGCTGTAACGGTATTTGAGGTGGTGGTGGACTATAAATACCGGGATCATTTTGCAAAATGTTTTGTCCGCTATCGACCAATGAATAGTCAAGCTGTGAAATCTGTGGTACATAATCGTCTCCCTCATCCATCGCTATATTCCATCCTGCAAAAAGAAAAGAAAAAAATGGAAACGAATAACAGACATTCTAATGAATCGTAATGCATATTACAAAGATTGTGAATTAAACTGTAACTTTTTCAAACGATAAAATTTCTAAAATTAATGATGGAAAAGATGACATGGAAGATATCGAAGAACTAACAACAATGATTTACTATACTGACGTAAAAATTTCATAAATGATAATTTGCTATGTTTTATATTTCATCCAGTAATTAACTGGATAAAACATAAAACGTAGCAATCATAGTTCAATTTTTAGGAAGTTTTTAAATTTTAATTTAAAATATAATTAGTAAATAGAAGTTGTCAGTACAGAATGATATGATAATGATGAAGTGAACTCTGATGTTAATGTTTTAGGAAGAAAAAAAAAACCACCATAACGAATAAGTAGCACCACAAGAAGCTTACTACCGTGAATGATGAATGAATTATGTAGGAGTAGCATTACAAGATGCTTACTAACGTGAACGATAAATGAATCACATAGGAGCAGCATTATAAGAAGCTCACTAACGTGAATGATAAATGAATCACGTACGAATAGCATCACAAGAAGTTTACTAATGTGAATGATAAATGAATAACGTAGGAAAAAATAATAGTATATATTTTATAACGGATAACATAAATGATGAAAATGATAAGACGCAAATATATCCAAGATGTTCTGTTGAAATAATGTTAGCAAGTACTGGTAAGCAATTCAAATCTGTCGAAAACGGATGATGATGACGATGATGATGGTGATGATGATGATTGAAGTGATCTCAGACGTAGCCGTATCGCCTTGTTAGTGCTGTTGATGGCTATTTGCCATTACCCCAACACAAACTCTCTCCTCTCTCTTTCCCTCTCTCTCTCTTTCTTTCTCCTACTTCCTCTCTCTCTCTCTCTCTCTTCTCTCATTTCATCCTAAACTGCAATGCATTTGGAAAAATGAAGGAGGTAAGCATCACACAACGCCTCACATATGCATCTTGCACATCAACAACAGATCCTCACAGCAATTTCATAAACAAATATATATATTTATATATATATAAATCCATTCACTTGCAAATATAACATTACTCTGTTCTATTTCTTCACGTACACGTAATACACGCAACATACGCATACATAGGTATCTTTATAGATACATTTTTTTTTAAAGCTATCAATAACATTTTGCTACCATATAAATGATAACGTTAATAAGTAAACGCCAATAGGAAAGATGAGAATTTTTGATAGTTAACAAGTGATATTAGTTATTGTTACTCCTAAACAAACAATAAGGTGTACTATTGACGTACGTGCGTAAACAAATTTGCTGAAGGATAATTATGAGGAAAAAGTTTTGCCAAAAAAGATACGCAAATAAAAATTATGGCATATACGAATTTGAAACACTCATTTGGAAATATTATTTCATTTGGAAATTCTAAATTATAAAAGTATTCTAACTTTTTGCGCTCAGTAGAATTGTCGTAGGCAAAAGTTACGTCATGTAATTTCTTCTATATGCAATTATTGAAAAAAAAAAATTAATGGATATACACATATCATATCTGCCATTGTCAACCATGGCAATATTGATTATTGCTTAAAAAGAACGTGAATAGAAAAGACTGTCATAATCGTAGATGATGTGTCGAGAGATAAAAGCTTAAAATACTCGAGAATGACCTCTTATTCGGTTACTATTTTATGAGTTTCACAAAAATGCAATGACCGTCACGTTATATATTAGAATGCATCATATGACGAATAAAAAAGTGTGCGTTCGTGCAAAGTTCCCTTTGACCTTTCTAGAGAAATGCATGTTTGACAGTTCTTGTCATGCGAGGGAAGCGAAAACTTCTCCACGTCGTATTAATTAAAATAATTATGTTTTTGCACACGTGAGGCTTGAAGCCAAAATTAATAAATACATATGGCTCTTCTGGAAGCACATATTGAAATTTTATTGAAATGGACTTTAAAGCACTTATCCTACTCTGAGCACGGGTAGTGTTACAGTTAACGCAGAAAGATAACTTTTTATTGGCACAAGAGGTAGCTTTTCAGATACATC